TTCTGGGAGTTGAAGTCCACACATCTTAAAGTTGCCAAGTTTCAAAAATACTGCCATCGAGTATGCCTGGAGGTGGCGATAAACTAATTAAGTGAAAATAACGGCAATATTATAACCAGATGAGTTGTACAGGACTTGAACGTCAACACTGGGGTCAGTAAAATTTGCCTCTAAAGCCCAGGGCTTCTCAACATTTTTGTGCCCTGGACCCCTTTGAGAGACTGCTAAAATGTGCAGTCCCCTTCTCAGAAAAATGTATTTAAATGCATAAGGTAAAATCATGAATATAAAGAGTCCCCCCCCTCCATCCAAGTTCTTGGACTCCTGAAATCTATCCACAGACCTGCCAAGTTAGAAGCCTCTGCTCTAAACTATCTCTTGAAGCTGTAGATATTTTTGAGGAGCTCATTATCAGAATAAAACCATCCTTTCTTCACAAATTAGTACTCAGACAGCTTCTGACTGCAGAAGATGCATACAACCATCACCACTAAAAGTCATGATAAATGTGAAAAAGTACAATGCCCAGATAAGATGACACTATAAGAGGAAAACACATTCAAGTTGCTAGGCCTAGTGTAGGCAGGTTGGGCACGCATAACACACTTGTCCCTCAACTCAGGTTAACTGAATATAGTTCCTAAGTTCATATAACAACATATAATACTCAAACAAATTAATAATATGGCTTAAAGAGATGGCCAGATTCACAGCATACTAAGAAAACGATCAGGTTCCCACTACACAACAAATCACTGGTTTGGGTCAGCGTGCAACACAGTCACTTTGTTCTCCTTTTACACATTTCTAATTCAACAGACCTCCTTTTTCACATGAAACCCAAGGACTGGCAATCCTTTTCATGTTCAACTAAACTAGCAAAGCAAGCTTTACACTTATTCTTAGCACCAGAATTGGAACAAGACCCAAATTCTGTGTCTGCAGAGAGTGTCTCCGGAGCTCCTGGCAGCTCCTGCCAAATTTTACCTGGACTTGCAAGTTAACCACATCAGCCCTGGTTAGTATTGGATAGGGCACCACTAGGAAATCTCAGAACTATAGGCTAAACTGGGAAGTCAAAGAACACTTGGAAGAAGGCAATGGCCACTCGTAGCCAAGGAAAAGACATGGATGCATCATGAACTCATCAGACTTCATGGCTTACCTTTATCAATCCTTTTAGTTCAGACATGACTGAAAACTCTGAATCAAGAAATCAGGAAAAATCATACTGCACGAAGGAAATAGTAACACATGAATCCCACCTAAGGGCAGGGTCTCTCAAACTGTGGGCTACCATTAACTCATAGAATAATAAATTAAGGTCTGCAACATCCCCACCTGGCAATGAATGAAATTAATGATTTTACTCCAAAGTTTCCTATCTCCTTGGCTTGGAGAAGCTAGCGGTCAGTTTGTCCAGGCAAAACAGAAGCAAGTTCTAGCAACGATCCAGCTTTGCATTCAGAAACCATCACTGAAATCTCACCAGTGTTCAACTTTTGAATGGCTTGGTCTATACATTCAATGGAGAATTGAGTACTCTGCAAAAGGCACTGAAGTACCACCTAGATATGTATGTATTAGCAATTTTGGGTTTCCCTGAACTAACATGGTGTAATGGGCTGTGAAAATAAACTTGAGGAATAGGAGGAAGAGCTACAGCCAAGGCAATGGTCAGATAAGAGAAATCTGAGTCCAAACCAGCACTGGAATTTGAGAAAACATCTCAGACTAGACCCTCTCTAGTTCTCTTTAGGATAAGGACAGGGATGGGGAGGCACATTCAGAGTTGCAAGATAATAATAAAAGTAATTTTAGTATTCATAACTTTGGTTATGTTTACTAAGAGTAATTTTAGTATTCATGAACTTTGGTGTTCAAGTCTGGTCTAGTCTACCCTGCTTAAGTGGTGGCAGTGATGGGGTCCAGAAGAGAAGAGGGGACAAGGCCTGATATAGAGGAGTATGGAGATAATCTTGAAGAAGAAATACAAGAACAGTTATGTAAAGCCCACCTTAGTACTGAAAGAGAAAAGGGGTCAGAAAGAAACTCAAGACTTTCCACCTTGACTCTCTTGGGTATAAGAGAGGGAATTCTGTCAGGTTTTCAATATTCTCTTATCATACCCTACAACAATCAAATAGAATTCCAGTAGTTCTTGTGTTTCCTGACCTGGTCTACCTGGAATGGATGACAACCATGCCCTCTGCATATGCAAACATACAGCCCAATAGCTAACAGGACAGCAGGCTCAAACCTGGGCATGGGGCAGCTGAGCGCCCAGTTGAGGCCTTGCCCTGAAATTTCAAAGCCATCTAACCCAGTAGCTGTACATCTGTGGTTGGTGAATGGAAAAGTTGCAAGCAAAGTGCTAGGCGAGTATTTGCCAGCTGCTGGAGGCAAGGCGACTTATGTGGATCGAATGCAGCCAGAGTCCGCTCAGATCATAGTCCTGCTCTGCTTGGCCAAGATTTTGTCCAGTCAGAGCGGGAGCAAGTTGTAAAAGCAATCTTGCTTTGCGTATGCAAGCTCCCCAAAGATGCAGCCCCCTCAAACGTGCCCCAACCCTGATTCAAGGTGAAAGGACTCTGGCTTACTCCAAGAGCTATACACTCACAAAGGGTACACAAAGAACAGTGGTGGTCGTCAGCCAACAGCAGGAATCATTAGATGACCCTAAGGACGCGGGGATAGTGGCTTAACAGTTCCTGGGCAGGACAGCTTTCCATCCTCAAGCAGACTCCAGCGGCTTTTGTTGCATCCAGATACTCTGACTGCCACCTGAGCCCTAGAAAGGGGAGGGAGCAACAGCAGACCAGATAGCGAAAGCAGGAGACCAGAGGCCAGTCCCTCTTCTCCAGAGGGACAAAGCGAGCAGCTGATCAAAATCACAATGAAGCTTGGTCTCCAAACCAAAGAAAATTAGGAGCAAAGAGCCAGAGCATCACAGGTCCGGATGTAAACAAGGGCTTTGATTCAAACTAGACACCTGCAAAGGTAACCAAGATCGAGCAAACCTCCCTGATAAAGGTGGGGATGGCTATATATTGGGGGGGGAGCTAATTCCCCCCTCATACACCCTGCACCAGCCAGCAGCCCCTGTTCTGAAGATCTCCAAAGCAGGCTTTCCATCTAACTGACACTTCTCCTCCTTCGGATGGAGAGAAGATCATTCTCAATTCCTTGCAGGGGAGGCTCTTAGCAGTAGGATCCCAGTTCATATTGCCACACCATGCATTTATTATTTGCCCGGTGCCATTCTGCTCCCCGGAAGCCTTCACAACATAAAAAGTATACATTGTCAGTCTACTATTCAAAATCAGGTGTAGTTAAGCAAACAAAAAACTCATCTGAAATGCTGAAACCTGAAGGCAAGAAAAGAAAACTAAACAAAATCAAAACTTCAAATTTTTGCTTGTTAAATAAAAAGGAAGTTTCTAAATAAGCACTGAAGCCAAGCCCACTGAAACTCTGGCCCAACCTGAGGGGAATCAGTAATATTTTTGGAGTCCGTGTCCCACGGACCCCAGCTAGCATGGCCAATGGTCAGGCATGATGGGAGCTGTGGTCCAAAATATCCATATGATGTATGGCAACTCCCATCTTCCCCAATCAGCCAACTATACAGAGTGGGCTGGGGATGATGGTTGCTGCAGTCCAGCACTTCTGGAAGGTGCCAAAGAGTATGTTTGGGCAAACTTCATTGGAGCAAAGGCTTACTTCAGACAATTCTCCCAAACTCTTACATCACCTTTCCCACTGAACTCTCTTTGGACATCCAGGCTGGGGAAATGTTGATTCTTTCCCACAAACCTTCCATAGAAAATCCAAGTTTAAATAGTTCTCCCCCTACTCTGCTTTCCAAGATCATTATTCCACCCCTTCTTTGAGAAAAAGTAAAGGACTAAACCCTGCAGAACAGAGAATCTGGAACGGAAGTTCACAAGCCCTTCCCCAAAAGTGATAACCCTGCCTATAAACCAGTAAATCTCCTTTCTGTCCTTAGAGGCTACTTACCAAGAGCTCGGGCCACTGCCAGGAAGGGAATCTGGTCGATGACGGTGCTTCGTCGCACAGGACCGTTGTGAGTCAGACGAGGCCGTTTCCACACAACCCGATTCACACCGGATTTATTGATCACACTAAAACAATTGGAGAGAACAGAAGGGAGGAATTAAATGAAGGCTAGAGGTGGAAACCCAAGTTTCCAAGAAATGAATATTCCAAAGCATTTGTATTAAACACACTTCTATCATGTGTGATTCAAGGTGCTGGTTGTTACCTATAAAGCCCTACATGGCATACGGCCTGGTTAACTGAGGGACCGCCTATCTCCCGTAACATCTGCCCAGCTGATTCGATCCTGCAGGGCTGGCGTGCTCCGGGTTCCTTTGACTAAACAATGTCATCCAGTCTGCCCTCTGGAATGAGGTTCCCCCCAAGATCCAGATGGCCCCCACTCTGCTACTGTTCAGATGACCATGAAGTCCTGCTCTTCACCCAGGTCTTCAGCGAAGCAGAGTGAGACCCCCTGCTTTATTCCAGCCGGTCTGTTGTGTTTGCCATCTATTATCTTTTTTCTTCCTTTTATTGGTTTTATTGGATGTTTTGATTGTTGTGAGCTGCGCAGAATTGTTAGGAGTTGGGCGACATACAAGTTTAATAACAAACAAATAAATGTGTTTTCTTTGTGGAGGCTTCTCAAAAATATTCAATGGGTGCTGCAGCAAAATCTTGCAGCATGGAAGTCTGTTCAGAATTTGAGTTCCTCCGTTTGACATCATCAGCCTGATTATGCATGGCTGCAGAGCCATTTCAACCCACCCTGAGCTGTTTTAGGGGCTTTTCCAGAAGAAGGCATATATCATGCCAAGAAAACTAGCATGGATGCTCTCTTTGTAAGTCACCAGGAGCCAAGGTCAACTCAGAAGATGCTCTAACCTTTTCTCTTGTTCTCGTACTTTGCAAACTTTAACGCTACAGAAATACGCAGGAAGTGCAGGAGCAATGTTCACACCCAAACGCTGGACATAAGAGAAAATTATAACTGACGCAACGCCAAAACTTCGCAGGGCGCACATCAACAGACAGACTGCTGAGCTAACAGTGCAATTTATAATTCAGTAAAAGGGGAGGGGGTCAGCTGAACAAAGGGGAGACAAAGGCAAAGGGGAACTTTTGACGGTTTCTGCAGTTCTTGATGATGACCCCTGGGATTTGCTCCTGATGTTTTAAATGTGAATATTCCAGGATTGTACACATGGTAGTGTCATAGCATAAGAGCCAGAATTTAGGGAAATTCCTTTTTTTTTTTTTAAGATTAATAACCACGTTTCTAGGCCCAAAGGTTCCATGGGGACGGCATTCAAAATATCCGAGTAACGCCTATCGGCGGAAGCGCTAACAAAGCATCGCTAGGCCTGGAGACCCTTCCTTTGATGTCTTCTAGAGTTCATGCCCCACCTGACTTCCTTTCAGGGGCTCCTGTTTATTTTAAATGCTTTGAATTGCAAGACATGAATGGGAACCCAGGGCTGCTTCTTCAAAGAGACAGCCCTTCCACATGTACAGAGATCAATGCCACCACTAAAGGCGAGATCGTTTCTCCTTGGGGCGCAGCTGCGCTGAGAGCACTACCGAATGGCGAAGACGGTGGCGCGGAGTTTAATTCAACTGCCGAGGCTTCTCACCCAAACCAGAAACCAAGATGACCCCCCCCCATCCTCCCCTGCCTTCCCCACCAAGCCTGGAGCACTCCAAACGGCCCAACGAACCGAGCAGAGACGCAGAGGCTGAGAGATCCAGGCAAAGCGTAGGGCTTAGCAAGAAGAGCCAGGCTTTCTGAAGTTTAGCACCTGCTCTCAACCGCAAAGCAGCAGGACTGGGTGAGGGCCAAGAAAACAAGCCACTGCAGGAAAGGGAAGGAGGCAACTCATCAGAAGCCCATCAAGGAAAGGGCGAAAGGGCCGCTCCAACCTCGATCGTGGGATGCTCCGATGGCTGGAGGGCCGGGCGTTTGAGATTAAGTGCCCACTGAACTTGGAGGATCCTGCGCAACGCCAAGCTGCCTCTCTCACAGCGACTCTGGTCATTCAAAGATCACCCTCGGGGGCAGGCTGCCAAGAGGAACGGAGCCAAGGCAGGACTGCAAAGACACAAAAGGCGGGGATGCCCTGGGGAACCCCGGACTCTTCCAAAGCAGCCAGCCAGCTAAGAACAAAGACAGGAGACCAATCCCCCTCGTTCTCACGCCTCCTTCTCCCCAAAGATGATTCTCGCAAGGCACAGAACAAAGGGTTTACCCCAGCAAAAGAAAACTTAAAAAAAAAAAAAGAAAGGAAGACAGAGAGTGGAAAAGCCAGTTTGAATACAGTTTCGCGTTGCAGGATTTTGCAGGAAGGAGGCACAGCCGATTCTGAGCAAGACGCTTTGCGTTTGGCGTAGGGGATAAATGCTGTCGCCACATTCAATTGCCAATGTCCGCTTCATTCGTAGGGAGAAAGTGCGGAAAAATGAGGTGAGGTCCCTTAACTCAGGAAGACCATCCACGCGGAAGAGGGAACCACTGGGTTTTGTATATCTTGCACCGCCGTGGCTTCCTGAATGAACTATAATTGGTTAGGCTTACCCAGCATACTAAGCCAGAATCATGGTTTGCAATGCACAAAGGCTGGGCTCACCCCATACAGTGAACCAAAACTGAGCAAGCCGCACCATGGCTTAGCTTCTCGTCAGGGTACCATAAAATGGCCAACTTCTTCAGAGAACAAACAGGCTGCGGGGCTGAATCCTCACACAACACGGAGAGACCCCTTTTAAAGACAGGGTTGATTAAACAAGACAGAACAGCTTGATCTGTGCATAACCCAAAGACACAGCTAACTCTACTCAGACGTGATGCTAACCAAATGCCCCCGCCCCCAAAAAACCAACTAGAACTCAGCAACTTGTCTGAATCTACCCTAGATCTACATTAGGGTAGACTTTGAACAATAGCAGAGCAGCTGACAGGCCTCCTCCGGTGCTTGGCGTGCTGTTAACATCCTCAACCCAGTGCCGGAACAGAGAGCAGTGAAAAGTCAGAGAGCTCCTTTTGAGCCCAGTGGAGAGGAACATCATGAACCAGCACGCGGAGAAACGCACTGTGTTCCTAGGGAGCTTTCACTGTTTCTGTGTCGCTGCAGCGGGACTCGGTGTAATCCTGAGGACTGCTACTTTCAGCCCTCACAGAACTCACCCCTTCGTCTCACTAGGTCAGTGATGGCGAACCTGTGACATGCCACAACGCTTTGGGTGACACACCAGCGTTCACCAACACCCGACAACAACTATTCTCCCTGCCTGAGTCACCAAAGAAACTGAGTTTGTTTTACTCGTATTTCGTTTCTGTAATTATTTGATGTTTCTTTATATAATACATAGCAACACACAGGATTGGACCGATTTTTTTTTAAAATAAATGAATATCTAAAGAATTGTTTCTCTTTTGTTTGGCGGGGGGGGGGGGGGGCGCGCCAGCAGAGTCAAGTTAGGCATTTTCCACCTTTTTGAAACAAGGTTCACCGTCACTACACTAGGTGGAAGCAGTCGGGCCTGATTTGTCCCTGGATGGGAGACCACTAGGAAATCCTAGGGCAGCGAAGTTAAAAATCCCAAAAAATCAAAGTAATAGTAAGTAGTAAGATAAAAGCCAAATGTATGCCATTATATTCTACCAGTAGATCATAAACAATTGAAAAACACAGGGGAAAGACCTGGAGCTGCCATAACAGTTCCTGGAAATTATGCCTCCAACTAGGCTCCTCAATTTTGGGGGGCTGATAGGTACACTGGGAACACTGAGGGCCCGTTCTTTATTTTTGTTTATTTTGTTTTATTAAACTACCCAAACCGAAGCGCTCTGGGTGGTTTGTGATAAAACACAGGAAAAGCTACAATCTGAATAAAAACACACACAATCAAATCAAGCCCAATGCAAAATGAATAGACCACACAGCAGCAGGGCGGCCATTCTACATCTAAAACGATATGAATTCAAAGACAATTAACAGCCAATTAAGAAGCCTGGTGAAACTGAAAGGTCTTCATCTGGCACCGAAACGATGCTAATGTGGAGTGCCAGCCTAGTCTCACTGGGGAGGGAGTCCTATAAATGAAGTCCCACTACAGAAAAGGCTCCCCCCCCTTGTAGAGACCTATCTCACCTCCTTTTGGGGGTGGGGGGATCTGGAAGAGGGCCTCATGAGAAGATCCTAAACTCTGGGTAGGTACGTAAGGGAGAAGGTGCTCCTTTGAGTAACCTGTCGGCACCTGCACAAATGGGCCGCCATGGTGGGGGAGGGAATTCCCCAAACATCCATATGCCAAAAGCTAAACTAGGGAGACAGATCCCCCTGCCCTATTCCGTCCAGCCTCCTGGGGTGTGCTCGACCAACTCAGTGACCTTCCATCCTTCGATTACACAACGAGGCACACTTCCAGACAGAGTGCTGGAAAAATTTCACCGTGGCAAAGACTCCAGATCAGCACTTGTTTTCTTCTTTCTATGAAAATGGTTCACACAATACACTAAGCCATAACATATCTAATTTCGGTTTCACACCTTGCAAGAACCCAAATGCTTTATGCAAGAACCCAGACAAATGTGATTCACTGAACAAACCATTGGGTAAAAATAGCAGCTGAACAGAACACAGGAACCCCTTCAATCAGATCTGGTATAAGGCTGCTCCCAAAACATGTTTAAGGCAAGGAACTGCAACTCAGCAATAAAGGACCTACTTGAATATCCCTCTCAAGTTACAGGTAGTCCTCGCTTAACAACTTCTCATTCAACGACCGTTCAAAGTTACGATGGCGCTAAATGAGTGGGACTTATGACTGGTTCTCATAGTTGAAGCTGTTGCAGCGTCCCCGCGATTACATGATTGCCATTTGTGACATTCTCTGCCAGCTTCTCACAAGCAAAGTCAATGGGGAAGCCAGTGGGAAGTCACAAGTCGTGGTCACATGAAGCCCTCGTTTAACAACCCATGGTGATTTGCGTAACAACAGCAACTGGAAGTGCCAGAAGTGTCATCGCTAAGGGGCACAGTCACATGACGTCGCGCTTTACAACCGTGTTGCTTAGTGACAGAAATTCCAGTCCCAGTGACCACTGTTAAGTGAGGACTACCTGTACAATAGTCTGACAGCAGGACCTGGAGAAGATCTTTGTCCAAAGAGCTGCTGGCAGACAAAGTGAACAAAATTGGATTAAAAGCACAAGCACCATGTACGTTATTTAGCACAATGATGCCATGATGCAAGTGATGTCATCCTGATGTTATCATACCTTCTACCAGAGGCCTATTATAATAAAGGTAAAAAGCCAGATTTGGAACAAGTCAGCTAGATTTGTTACCTGCCCCCAAGACCTTCAATCCGCTGTCTCTCCTTCGGGAGCTCAGGTTTGTGATCCTGTGTCACCTCCACGGCCCGGACATAGTCATCTTTGGGGTCATCCTGGACTCCAAGAACCACACCTGAGTCGCCGACATGAGCCACGTACATCTTTGAACCCCTGATAATTACCACACTGGCTGTCGTCCCTGATGTGCTCGGAAGACCTGTCAGAGTCTTGGGCCATTCCGCTGCAAAGAGGGAGAATAACTGTAAGTTACATAAATACTACAAAAATGTGCAAAATAAGCACAAGCAGATGGATAGGCATCTATTTGCTCAGGATGAGTAAGAATACAGGTAGTCCCTAGTTTAAGAGCAAGTTCCATTCCCAAGATCTGTCCTTAAGTCGAATTTATATGTAAGCTGGAACAGTATTATATAATATATAAGTAGTATTGTGTAATGAAGTCAAATCATTACGTATTTAACTCGAATTTTGCTACAACAGGCTCCGTTCTTAACTATGGATCGTCTGTAAACCGGGTTCTTAACCCGGGGACTACCTGCGTTCCACGGGAGACCAACTTTCAAATATTTCTCTCATTTTCTTTCAGATTGTCAGGGTTATCCTGACTAGTGCTTAACTGTGACTTAATGGGAATAGATTTGACCAAATATCCAAGTACAAAATCCTGTATTTTACGAGGACTAACAGCTACTGATATATTTTCAACATTTAATTTGCATCCTGCGGAGATCCAGAATTGAAGTAAAAAAACACAAGGGCTACCGAAAAAACACGAGGGCCATCTATTTATATACTCCTTCAACTGGGCCACAGAAAATCTGTTTGCTACAGAGCCTAATATCGTACAGCACGTTCGACTGGAACGTATTTAAGTCATAAACCCTTCACCCACCTCGTTAGGGCTCGTTCTGGGGCCCTAAGAGTGCCAAAGATGTGCTCCACTGCTAAGCAGGGACTAACTTTTCAAAGCTGTGAAATGCTTCACAGCACACAAGGCACAAACGTACCTCTTATCTATAACTCTTTAAAGCAGCTATATCTTTTTTCTGGATCATAGGCAGCCACCTGTTCTGAGAAAAAGAGGTGGCTGTTTTAAAGACTTGCAAGTAAATGCTACATTCTTGTTCCTGGGTCCTTTGAAGCACTTATCTGGAATCTAATCTACACAGCCTATTTGAATCTTGCATCACATCATTTTCATACTGAACCATGAAAGAAAACATCTTCGGGTAACTGGCTGGATCTGTGCGTTGCACTAAAACAGGGACACACATCTTCTTTTGGCATGAAAGCTGCTTTTTCAGCTGGCTAGGAAAATAATACTCCACAAAGTGGATGGGGAAAGGACCAAAGAAATGAGCCAGGCCAGGCAAAACAAAATCTAAAACTGGATTCCAGTGTAATTAAAATTTAATTTTAAATGAAAAACAAGCTTGCTTTTATATTATTCTATTTTATATTATTCTATTTTTGATTCTTAGTTTACAGTTTCAGTCTTCATATTAAAAACCTTTTATATCATAATATTAGTGCCTCGATATTAGTGCTAGCTTTTAGGTACTCATAAGTTTCATTGTTATTACTGAAATTTTTACAAATGTTATTTTATATTGATCTATGACTGATACAAATTCCCCATCTATTTAATTTTAAAATTAATTTTACCCTTTTGACTCATTAAAAGTTAAAATCCAGTAACCATTTTTGAGAAGGCTCTCTGTGGACCACATTTGAGGGTGCTGCATTAATTCATATATCATAGTTTTCAAACCTTAAGGACTAGATTCACACATCATGCCCAGCTAAAATCAAACCACAGGATGGCTTAGAACAAACTGATAAGCCATCAATAACATGGCTTGTTTGTTGGCTTCTTGGCTTGGTGAGATCCATGAACCCACCTCCTGAAATGGGAGAAAACTAGTCCTAGCAGAAGAAATAAGATTAAGCTAAATAAATTCATTTAGTAATAGCTGCCCCATTCTTTTGCAAAAATTTGTGCCATCAGGATTTACATTGTTTGCTGTTTATTATATTATTTTTATCCTTATTTTTGTTGTATGAGTCTCAGAGCCATTTGGAGTGGAACACCACAGAAATGTCAGCAATAACCTAATAAATAGGCGATTCTTTTCCAAGCAAAATTTTTCCAGAGTTCTCTTTAGCAAGGTTTATTAAGATGGAAGGGAGGGGCTACAAGAATTCCAGCTGAATTTCTTTCTAAAAGTCTTCCTATGAGCCAGTTAGGAGGCAGGTCTCTTTGCTGATAATGGGGAAGCTTAGAGCTGGTTCTTTATATAACAGTCACAAGAAGTTTCTGGAAGCCAACTCTTATGGCATCTGTCAACCTTGTCTATACTCAAAAGTTGAGAAGGACCAGATCTTGTTAGCATCTAGATAGGAGACCATCAGGAAATACCACAGTGGTAAAAAGATTGGGAAGTAAAGGGGAAAAATTGTCCCTGAAGAAAGCAATACCAAAGCATTTCTCTACTGCTCCCAAGAAAATCATGGTTGTGTTTATGAAGTCACCAGACTTGGCGTGACATGGTCCAATTTCAAGGAATCATTTAATTCTTATAATGCAAGTATCAGTCGTAGAGAAAAACCATGATGGGAAATCCATGTCCTCACATGTTGAGGTAGTACAACTCCCATCAGTCTTCTTCACCAGCCACACTGTTTGGGGATTTTGGACATTATAGTTCAACAAAACCTGGAGGACCACAGGTTCCTCATCCAGGAGGACTGTTGGCCTACCTGCTTTAAAAATTGTTCAGTCACTATGTTCACACACGGCACTAGGCCATGGTTCATTTACCGCTCAATCTACTTGCAGTGAAACTGCAAAGTGATGCAGTTTGCAGTGATGCGAAAATGATGACCTACACCAGGCATATGTGTGTGTGTGTGTGAAAATACTCAAGATGGCACCCATGACTACATAATCAAAGCCACTTCCCTTTCTTACATGTGTTGCTTATACATGTCACATATAAAAGGGAAGGGCTTCAACAGGGTAGTCACAGCTGCCATCCTGACTTTTTTGACCCCACCCATGGATCCCCTGACCCACCCACTGACCCCATCAGGTAACTGCCTTGATTATATACTTGCATCCCATGCCCCCACCTAAGTACATCAATCATGGCATTTACTTTCTTTTAGCAGATGCTCATGGTCCATGATGAACTCCTAAGTTCACATGTCATAACTATATCATGGCTCGTGATATAACTAAGCCATGATGTTGGTTATACTGCAGGCACAGACCTCTAGTAGTATTCCAGAGATTGCTATCTACAGCACTCCAGAAGCATAGCCAATAACAAAGGATGCTGGGAACTGTAGTTCAGCAACTTCTGGAATGCCACTGGTGGCCTCCCTTGGCTTGGTGTCCTATGTGACTGGAAGCCCTGAAATTCACTCCTATAGGAATGTTTGGTCTCTGCTGTTATTCTTAATTCTCTTGGTTCTGAGATCCATTTAAAACTTGTGAATACCCTCTCCAAAAGCCAGGTTTGCAGAGTTGCTGCTGCTCATCTCTGAGATTTGCAGTGACAAGAAGGGTCTCGGATACACGAAACAAAAAATGGTTTCCTTGCCTTGGGATACATTGGCCTGGCATGAGCCAAGAGCTCACGCAGAAGTTTTCTCAGATCAGCTCAGGAAAATCCAACTAGTTGTAGGCTTCTCCCTTGGAACTCAAGAAGGGTTCTTCCCACTTGCTACACTTTTCTTCCCATCTCCTATATTCCTCCCTGTGGTGAGCATGAAGAGGGCAACCCTATACATGTCAGTACAGAGTGTCTAGGGCAGTGTTTTTCAACCTTAGCAACTTTAAGATGAGTGGACTTCAACTCCCAGAATTCCCCTCATCTTAAAGACCAGAAGCACTGGTCTAGGGCAGCCTTTCTCAATTGAAGTTCTGCAAGAGATCATGACTGAAAAGAAAAATAATTCTCTACTCAAAAGAGCATTGACAATTATTGGATTACTACTTACAATTTACGGATCCCACTAACGTACTATGAAATATAGATATACGTGTAGTAACTTTTAGGCAAGGTTTCCTTGAGACCTGAAAACTATTTTAAGAGTTCCTCCAGGGTAAAAAGGTTAAGAAAGGCTGATCTACAGTTTTCTCCCCTCTAGGCTCTTTGCACACTTAGGTACCTGGAGCAAGCCAAGATGGGGTCATGGATGTCATGACATCACTGCGCAAATTCCATAATTTGTGTCATCTGTTCAAAGGTGTCATGAGGCATATGATGTTGTCCCCTTCTACCACATGGACATCTATGTTTGTACAACACATTCACTCAGCTTTTCTCAATTTAGCATCCTGGAACTATCTTGGGATTGTGGCTTCAGAACAATCCTGCCAAAAGAATTCATCCATTTGCCTAGCTTCACACAACACCATCTCCCCGAGATTAGATTGGCCTTGCTCCTGTTGGCCTTCCATGTGGCCTTGAAAACTTGGTTCTGTGCCCAAGCCTGGGGCCCTGGGCATACGATAGAGCCCTTCTCCTAACTGTGGTTGGATGACGCCCAAGCTCTGTGTGCTTTATTTTTATTTTTTATTATTTTTATTGTGTATTATATATATTTTATTTATTTTATTGTAAGCCACCTGGAGTCACATAAAAGTGAGATGGGCAGCTATGTAAATCAAGTAAATAAATAAATAAAATAAAACACAGCAAACTGTAAACTAACACAGGCTAGTAAATCACATTTCAGGCTAGCATATTTTGGCAGTCTGAAACCCTTGCAAACATTTCTAGTTTTTTTTTCACTATCCTTAACATCCTTCTCTGCAGTTTGTCTGAATCCAGGGACCTCCACCAGGGTGGTGCATATGTGTGTGTATGTGTCAAAAAAAAAAAAAAAAAAAGATGGTGGCTAGAACTACACAATCAAAGCCCTGCCATGTTTTTCATTCGCAAAGTGTGCAATGCACATAAAAAGGGGATGGGGCTTTAATTGCATGGCTGTGGCCACAATCTGTACTTTTTTGATCCCCTTGCGTCAGACAGCCCTGTCTGAGTCCTTAAATGTGGACTGCAGAGCGGGATATTTAACATAAGATGAGGCAGAACTAATGCAAAATACAACAGAATGACTATTTCCCAGGAAGTAGAAACTACAGCTCTATAACTAAAAACCGAATTTGCCTTTTTCGCAGCCACAATACGCTGCTGACTCATATTCATATTTTAAGTAAACTAAATTAATTTCTATTTTTTTAAAGCCCAAATTTAAAAGAATCCTTCCCCAACATGGATTTTAACCTTCAAAGG